GAGAGAGAGAGAGAGAGAGAGAGAGAGAGAGAGAGAGAGAGAGAGCAGAAGCAGAAGCAGCAAAAGCATGTACATTTAAAAAAATAAAATTAAAAAATGGGGTGTATGCATATGTGAAACGTTTTTCAGCCGTACGCTTGGTGAGAGATGGCTGGTGAAAAGCGACAACACTTGAAAAAAAAAGAAAGAAAAAGGCACGATAAAATATTCTCATCTCCCTGAGACTCCCTAGCAGCTTCATAGCCAGACACATAATCCGTTGCAGCTGACTCTTTTCTTCCAACCACAATATCACCAAGCACAAGGAGCAGCTGTGCCCCATCCTCCTGACTGTATGTTTGAAATAAGAAAAAAAAAGAGGCAAAAAGAATACTGGGCTCAGCGTCTTCGGCTCCCAAGCCTGTGACTGATACCATCAACAAGCCCCAACACCCAAGGATCGTGCGCTTCGCACACCACTTCTCCCTTTCAGTTGCATTCGCGTGGGCGTAGACAAGTCTAAATCCCAAGTAGCTATCACTCGCCTACTACGACTGGGCGCATAGCACCCCCACTGTCGCTCAGCTGCTACCATGGCTGTCTATAACCATCACAGCTGCAACCCCCAAATTTCACAAGTTTCCCCCCCCCCCCCCCCCCCCCCTCCACCCCCAGCTGCTGAAACACTCTCGCGTTCGGCGTACAACAAGACCGCAACCCACCGCATCCAGCTGCTGAAACACGCTTTCGTTCGGCGCAAAGAGGCTCAACCTTGACATGCAGAGAGAGCTTTATGCAAAAGCTCCGCCATCGAACACAGCAAGGAACACTCTAGGCCATATATAACAGCCGACGTCTAAGCTGATAAGGAATGAACCTGCAGGCCGCATCGTTTACCCGACTACGACATGCCGGCAGTCAGCAGTCGACACACAACTCTTAACCACAGAGTCACCGAACTCAGCGACTCCGAGTCTCCGAAAGGGGTGGACCACCACATCGCAGAAGCAGCTCATCAGCGCTGTTGGGGCTAAGAAAACTCAGTTCAGCACATTGTCAAGCCTGAGGAGAGAAAGTTCGGAGATAACCAGCTGTGCGAGCAAGAGCCGACCGTCAAATGAAACAGACCCAGTCGTGGACCGTCATTCTTTAAAAATTAACACAACTACAAAAAACAAAAGCTCTTCCTCCTCCCTCTCCCTCTCTCGCAAGCTCTCTCAAGAAACGCGTTAAGGCTTCCATCATTGCCAGAAGAAAAGTTCACTGAAAACCGGCCTGGCAAGCGACTGACGTTACCGGCTGGGCAAGCGACTGACGTTCCACCTGCCGCAGGCTGCCGGTGCTGGTGATGCATGCATAGCCAAACACATTGCAACGCATCAACCTCCCAATAAACAACACGTGGTTTCACTTTATGATACCCGCATAAGGAAAACACACTGGTTTTAAATCCGGGCAATCAAAGGCCGACACAAGAATAGGATGTACGGATTTGCATGTAGCGTCGCACAGTCCGCAAGAGCACCCATCGTTGCCTTGGGTTCATCTCGCATCGTGCACGTCAAACCATGTTTGTGATCGTCCTCTGTCGGCAGATGGGAGGCACAGGAAGGCGGTATTGTGACCATGGCCACAATATACTTGGTATCAGAAGAACGTGCTCCCACAGCGAACTGCCTTTCGAGAATGTAGACATGAATACAGCCATATACATTCTCACTGAAGTCCTGGTGTGAGCACATCCTGAGGAACAGAGAACGTGGACTGTTAATCAAGGGCAAGAGGCAAAACACCGTTCGCCCCGCCGTGCGAGGACCGACGCGAGCAAGCGAAACGACGGCAAAACTCGACTCCAAGAGGCAAAGGCCACCAACCAAGGAGCCTAAAAGTAGAAAGTAACGAAAAAAGAAAAAAAAACGTACGAAATCACCTCTAGCAGTCCATCGAGCCTACATCTGCTCAGACAAAAAAAACAAAACAAAAAAAACACCACCTTTCCAGAAAGATCTTCCAATATCAAAAGAAAAAAGCCTTTTGGGTGCCAGACCCCAATAATTATGGATATGGGGTCAACAAGGCCCATACACCAACTACCCTTAAACACCTGGCAATTAAATACCCCCCCCACTTACGTATTGCCAGACCGCCTGAGCCTGAGCCCATGACACTACCAGAGGAAGAAATATTTTTCACTTTTCCTCTTCTCTGTATCTCTCATTATTCATCAACAAGCCTAAAGTCACCCACGTAGCCCCTGAAAGGGGAAAAGCGCTAAGCGTCGAGAGTGTACATCTTCAACGCATTGCTAGATTATAAGAGCATGGCTCGTCACGGACTGATAGAAAGAGATTTCGTAGGTTTTTCCCTCTTCTCTTCTCATTATTGAACCTCTGCCGCCCCCTCCACTTTCCCCCTACCCTGACCCCCCCCGTCCCCACCCCTCCCCCTTTCCCCTCCCCCCTCCTTCAGCACCCCCCCTCTTCGTCCAGCCTCTGCCCCATTCCATGGGAGGCACTAGAACATCAAATATCATTCATTACCCTAAATCCAAGAAACTCTACCGTACCCAACAAAACGAAAACTTAACCTCATATCCCTACGAGTCCTATCATATATAACTCTTTTCAATCCCCTTTCATCAACCAAAGACACGAGAGAGAGAGGAAGGGAGGCACAGATGGAGAGAGAGAGAGAGAGAGAGAGAGAGAGAGAGAGAGAGAGAGAGAGAGAGAGAGAGAGAGAGAGAGAGAGAGAAAGAGAGATTTGACTCTGATCTGTGGAGCCCGTCCACCCTATTCAGACGAGCAAATCAACCGCTGCATTCAGAAGTGGAATCCATAACCACCATCCTTCTCGCTCGTGCGTGTCATCCCAGCAAGGACAGCTACCAGCACGCACACACACACACACACACACACACACACACACACACACACGCACACACACAGAGCGAGAGAGAGAGAGAGAGAGAGAGAGAGAGAGAGAGAGAGAGAGAGAGAGAGAGAGATGACCCGCTGCATCGGGAAGTGAGCTTCATACCCACTTTCCTTCTTGCTCCCGCCTGTCTTGCCAGTAGCAACAGCCGAATATGGAGTTTTATGACACTCCGTATGCTATCAAGATATGAATGGTCCCACATATTTTGTGTCGTGACCCGCAAGAGCCTAACCACCATCTGATGATGCAACAATTCCCCAAAGAAAAGGTCACCGTTCAGATTTCCACGACCATCATGCTGCTTTATTCACTAGTACGCACTCACTGCTGACAGTCGTCTGGCAATCGAAGGGAACATTACTTATTGAATTTCCTGCTTTTACACGAAAGGCGTGCAAAGCACAAAATAACACAGTGACTGCTCATTTCCCATGCCAGCCAGCGGCGCAAAGCGCCACCACACCTCTCTATTGATGAATGGTGGTATGGTGGCCGACAAAAGAAGGACGACCACCGTACACGTCATCCGCACGTCGTTTAAACCACAGGTACTTGGCCCAGCTATCGGCCGTGGAAAAAAAAATAAAGTAGTAGAAACCTTTCTACAAGGATGAATTTGGCCGCTCTTCTAGTGGCCCGTACATTTCCTAAAATTGTGGCTTGTTAACGGGCACGACTTTAGGAAGTACTGACTGGTGGGTTTCAAAGAACACAGCGATCGTCAAGATCAGATCAACGAGGGGCAAAGACAAAGGACTTCTGCCCCTGCGTAGCACCTGGATCTCGCCTGAGAGGCCGGCGGCAATCTGTCTCCCCTCCCAAATCGTCGTAAAATGAACCTGATCGACTTGCCGACCAGGTTCCTGGATAATTTAGTACAGTTTTAATTTTGCCCTGCTACACACGGATAGGGAAGAGAAGAGCGACACACACAACTAGCCTCCATGTCTGCTCACCTATCTCTGAGAAGACGAGTCGCGCAGGATCCGACGGTTCGGATCCCGACCACATGCGCCACCAACATCACTCGCCTGCCGTCTTCCCCGAACACAACGCACCCTTATTTTGCCTGTATCGGGCCGGAAAAATACCTTGTAGACGTTCATTTTCAGGGTGCGTTATGTTCGGCGAAAGACGGTAGTGTCCTGACAATGGCTTGGGCTCCATCCAATCCATCTTTTGCTGCTCTTCTTCGACTTCTTGTCCACCATATCCAGGTGTCTTCCTTCCCAGTGGGCGCGGGAGAGGTAAATGCCACCACCACCTGTGCTGCCAAACGCCATGACGGAGGGGACCACCACTTGCACCATACTTCGCACTAAACACCAGATCGTCAGTTCAAAGCCAATCCAAGCAACAAATCTAAAAATAAAATTGAACACTAGTAGCCCTGGCTAGAGTACCAGAGACACTGCTTATAGTACCCCCCTCCTCTTTTCCCATATAGATCGTGCTTCAAGAGGACTCTACCTGTGCTGTGTCAGCCATGCACTTTCCAGACAAATATACACAAGACTGCTCCGATTGTGAGCCCACACACTCCCTCCATCATACGGCTTTGCCAGGGATCATCACTTCAACCCCACAGTATTTGAACCTGTGACCTTCAACGTAGCATGTGACCCCCAGGACCCAAACATCCCACATAGCTCAGAAGAACACAGTTAGTTCTTCATCAGCTTCTAAACACATCTCCACCATACTTATCCTATCTTCCACTGCAGCTGGCTGAGCAAAGACGCATTCGGCACCGTTTGCAACGCAAGGGAAACTACAAACGCATGTCCCCTGGCCGCTTTTCATGCCGTACACTGGTGAATCTCGTGGCACAAGTGCTATTAACAACAAAAAGAACAAAAGAAAGAAACAGAGAGAGAGAGAGAGAGAGAGAGAGAGAGAGAGAGAGAGAGAGAGAGAGAGAGAGAGNAGAGAGAGAGAGAGAGAGAGAGAGAGAGAGAGAGAGAGAGATGAGGTCGGGGGACGGGAGGGGAGTAAAGGGGAAGGGAAGGGAGGGAGAGGGAAACTAGGGAAGAAAGATCAGTAGGAGACATATCAACTAAAGGAGAAATGAAACGAAACGAAGAAAAGAAAGATAGGAGAGGAGAGGAGAGGAGAGGAGAGGGGAAAGCAAAACCAACGGAGACGGCATCAGCAGCCCCTCCTGTTCCACAATGGGAGTTAAAAACTCCGACAGCACGAGAAACAGCAACGCTGCCCTGTCATCTCATCCTCCATATATGGGTTATCAGGCACCGCCTGTGCTCGCCGGATGTGTGCGCTTGCGAGGCACTCACCAAAATACGAAGTGCTTGCGCGCACATCCGACTGCCGGCTCCTACAAACAGTAAGACGAGCACAAGGATGCTTCAGTCCCCCACAACCCATCCTCCTTGCTCTCTTTTTTCCTCCCTCTTCTCTCTCTCTCTCTCCCATTGTCGCAACGGTCGGTCACCATGACCCGCACATTCGCTCTCTTCGCACGCTGGGAAGCTAATAGGCTTCCGATGCATGCACGAATGCAAGAAAAGGCAAACAGAGAACGCAAGGTGGACATCTGATCGAGGTAAGAATCAACTGGTTACCTTCGTTCTTTCACCACCACAAGTCCACATGTCGATCCCACATCCGCAAAGGCGCACATGCGCAAAAAAAAAAACAAAAAAAAAACACTACCTGCAACCGATGTCAAACCCAGGTTGGTAGAAATCAATCTTCCCATGCAACGCTGTGGACCGCCGCAGTCGGGGGTTGGTCGACTTGAATCTTCCCAAGTTAACTCTTATCGATTGCCGCAGCCGACGATTGGTAGAAACGAATCTTCTCCATGTCACTCAATCGATTGCTGCAGTCAATGTGTGGGTTGAAAATTACTAATCATGAATCTTCACTCTATCGCCGGCTGCCGTCGATTTCCTGTTGTGATCATCGTTTCACCACACTCCGGCTAGCAAAGACATGGATCCGCAACGAACTTACGCATAACTGTGACCGGATACCGAGGCCCTTTGCACACACAGAGTCTGGCACGCCTTCAGAAGCTTTCCTTGAGAGTTTCCTCTGTCGACGTACAGTCCCATCCTACCTTCAACGATAGCTGAGGTTCCATAGGGCTCACTCACATACGGTAACCCAGAAACCCCAACGGGGGCATACGGTCTATTTTGATGTCGCCGGGGGCCTGCCTTCAACGCAGGTAACCACGGGCGCTACTCCCCGCCCGTGTGTGCGTCCTGTTCGTGCTCTCCCGCTGTGCGAGTACACCCGCTCAGTAACCAAAAGAAAGCTCGAAAAGGTTATTGTAACCACAAGGAGCTGAATCTGAGAGCATGCTCACACTAGGTCTTTCACGGATGAACTTGACGAGAAAACCGCATCCGATTCCGACACGTACCTGAGCGACAGCAATTACGTCCACATTCTAGTTACGAAAGACCTAGTGTGACTTTGCCCTGAGAAAGCACATCCTTCATCCTTCATCTCGTCTTGTTTTGAGGCACGGCAAAATCTCTCCACGGAAAGAAAACAGTGTGATTCCTGACCCCGGCCACACTCGTGTGCCCCGCTCGAGTGCAGGAAGTAGGAACCGCTCCCCTATTCACCGGAATAGAACGCCTGGTCATTATCGCTGTATGTGGACTTAAATTTGCCCAAAATACAGATATAATGACGGGGCGTTCTATTCAGGTGAAGACGGGTAGCCATCTTTCTCTACCTGCCAAGACATTACTCACGCCAAACCCACCTCTCCTCCCTTTCCCCTTCCCCCCCGCCTCCCCCCCGCACCACCACCACCACCACGACTTCACGAAAGTGCAGTCAGATGCATTGAGCGATGACCGCCCGAAATTTGCAAATGTCCTTCATATCTTTTCAACTCATACTGCTACCCTCCCACCAGTCTACACAGCGAGAACAGGGGTAGGGCAGCTTATGAAGGTTTTCGTCTCTCTGTTTATCGAGGGAGACAACACAACGGTGGGGGGTAGGAGGGGCTGGAGAGGAGTTGGGAGAAGAAGGGAGGTGGACAAGCTCCTAGGGGTAAGGGTGCACACCGATTGTCTCTGCGCATCTCTCACCGCCTCGCATGCACAAAACAACTGGGAGGGAAAAAGCGAGCTCCACAACGGATATCAATAGCTCTCCCTGCATGCACTTCTTTCGTATATACCCCGCTAAAACCGTTAAAGCTCTGCTGAAACCATTCCAAGAAGCTGGGCTTTTCAGACACCACAAAGGGACCCCTGCTAAAACTGTTAAAGCTGCATGCACTTCTTCCGTATATACCCCTGCTAAAACCGTCAAAGCTGCATGCACTTCTTTCGTATATACCCCCGCCAATCAAGAACCGATATCATTCACGCTGACCGCCATGCTCGACTGACTCGCACGGGGGAGGTGGTGTGCTCTTCTCCTTGCAACGAGGTGGCACGAACCAGCAGCAGATCTGTGCAAATAGAATTCCACACAGCGACAAGGCTAGTACAGCAGCAGCTCTCTGCGGATATTCCATGATGGACCCAGTCGACTCGAAAGGTTTTCAATACTCACTCGACTGCACATACCGAGCGAGGGGAATGGCAGTGTGCAGTAATCAAGGTACTAAACACTGCACAACAGCATGAATCAACCGGAAATCAACGCAAACTTCGTAGAGGACACGAGACCGAGAGCGGCAGAGCTGGTCTTTTATGCAAAAAACTTTCACCGCACTCACCGAGAGCTAAAATGCATCCGCCGCTGATGACCTCCACGTGCAGAGAGCCCACCAACTCGAAAATCTCAAAGACTCAGCTGGCTGAGAACCTGCCTTGTCGCCGCCTCTCCTTCCGTCGAATCGTTGGAATCCTCTTCTGTCGGTGCTTGTGCTCTTACCCTGATGAGCGGCCTGACAGCAACAGGTGCGGCTCTCTGGTACGGTGCCTGAATGCGAGTCCACAGCTGCTGCGCATCCCAGCACACACCCATTTGGTTGAACAGCACACTCTGAGTCATCTGGTGATGATCCTCGAGGCGAGACGAAGTCGCCACATCCTTTCCTTTCTTGTCCTCCTTGTTCGGCGATCGATCATCTGAAGCGCCGCCGCTCGACCGCGAGGAGCTCGTCCCACCGGACAACCACTCCTCCTCATCCCGAATGTGCTCTTCGAGATGGGCAGGGGTTGAACCGGAAACATGGTTCGCCTTGCTGGATTCGCTGCTGCGCACATGGATCTGTCGGGAAGAAGCGGAGGATGTGATCGGCAAAGCGCTGCCAGAAAGCACAACAGGCACTGTTCTGCTATCTACAGGATACTGATAGGTTGTCGTGGGACCTCCGGACGCCGACGAAGGGAGCGGAATGCCTCGACTTAGGACGGCGGGCGACTGGCTCACGTAACTCATGGGAATGACTGCACGAGGCACGATCTGAGAAGCGCTCATTCGAGCGCTATGAGGCACCAACGAGGGCACGCCCGCATGCAGGTATCGAACGCCGGTCATTCCTTCTTTGCCTATTCTGTCCACAGATGCCCACGGGTACTGGGACGTGCTCGGCAGCTGGACAACTGGCACCGTCTGCGAAGAAACCGTGGCAGTCGTTCTCTCTTCGCGCGATCGCCTGCTGCTACTCGATGACGGTCTCGTCGACGTCGTTGTGGAAGGTCCTTCAAATGACGACCCTGAGCCCCGCTGCTCTTCTTCGACATTTGCAAGAGCTCTCGCGATGTTCTGTTGCTCCTGGTCTTCGTTTGCTTCCGTCGTTGACGCATCTTGTGCTGCTCACACACACATCCCACAAGAAGAACACAGTTTCAGCACCCCGGATGCATCCACTGCCATGACATTCCTGCCTATTTATACGCCTCCATGCGGAAGAATCAGGTCCTACTGCAGTCCATGTACACTGCATTTCGAAGATCCTAACAGATTGTCATCTAAAAGCCCTTCTGCACTAATACATCACGAGGAGGCAAAGTCCTCAACAGCGATTGTTTCACATACTATATCTCCCATTTTATTATTTTTTTATTTTTACGGTCATGTTTGGCATTGGCGGCTTATGTCACTTCCATAAGTCCTCAACAGCTTGTTTCACATATTATTTCTCCCATTTTTAAATTTTTTATTTTTATGGTCATGTTTGGCATTGGCGGCTTATGTCACTTCCATTCTCATCACTCGTTTCACATATTTCTGCCATTTTTATTATTTTACGGTTATCTTCTGGCGTCTGGTTGTCAATTCAATTTCAATTTCAATTCAATTTCAATTCAATTTCAATTCAATTTCAATTTCAATTCAATTTCAATTTCAATTTCAATTTCAATTCAATTCAATTTCAAGTCAATTTCAATTTCAATTCAATCGTTTGACAAATTTCAGCCAAGTTTATAACGATTATGTGTTGGCGTTTGCGGGTTGACGTCACAAAGAATTCTCATCACTCGGTGTAGACACGACTAAGAACAAAAAAAGAAGTCAACGATTAAGAACGAAAAGAGAAGTCAGCGTTCAAGACGTCAACAGTAAATGAGAATCAACTCAAAATATGAATGAAACACAGGAAGAAGGCGTCCCGGACACCGCCGTCGCAATCTTCAAGGTTGCCGTCTGGTCAGTATCGCTGTCTTCCACACACCTCTCTCTTCAGAAAGAGGAGCTAAATCAAATTGCAATAACAAAAGACCTCTTCATAACGCAAAGCATCAAATTGGGGAAAAAAAAAAAAAAAAACCAGGACTACGGGTGGGCATACTACCGGGTGCAGGGTCGTCTGCTGTATTACAATGAAAGAATTTTAAAACATAATTATAGAATTTATATCAAATGAGTGCTGACATATTTATACACTCATGATAATACATCAAATTGATTAAAAAAGACTACAGGTGGGCATGCTATTGGGTGCAGAGTGGTTGACTGTATTACGATATAATAATAATCGAAGAATAAAATCATGAAATTTATAATTTTATACCAAATAATTAATTATAAACTTGTCATCGTACAGTAACTTTCTGACAAGCAGTTCGAGTCAGCTGTTGGGTAAGACGACATGGATATGATTTCTTTTATTCTTATTTTTTGAAGGACTTTCTTTTTTTTCAATTCTGAAGAGGACAGGGAACATACCCCCTGGAGATGAAGAGAACGAAGTCATGATTCCACCGCCGCAGAAATGAGCAGAGCACCGTAGTAGACGTTTGAAACGATTGGATTGAAAAAAAGCCCCGGCGACACGACAAGCAGACGGGCGACACGACAAGCAGACGGTCACAGGAAGACCAACCACAAAACAGAGTTTCAATCAGAAGGCGAACAAACCATGTACTACCCTCTGCCCCCCCCCCAAAAAAAAAGCATATCCTATATATGATGCACACCCTTTTTCTCTTTTTTTTCTCAGGGGGGTGTGTTAAGCAGGACTGAACCTTCAGGACATCCGTTAAACTTGGAACGATATGCAGAAGATAGATTAACATGTACCGAACACAACAATAATTAAAACCACGTAAAATCGAGAAATGGCCTAGGCTACCAGATGGGCCGCCCGGTCACCCTATTTTCCCACACGGCCCGGTCGTGCAATGACCAGGGAAGGTCAAAAAAAAAAAAAAAAAAAAAAAAAA